GTGACTTCTTGATGCTAATATTGACAGGAGACACATCTGTGTAGTAGTGTGGTAAATGATCAACAGTCTTGGTAGAGCTTGCATTCTCAGATCCTCCAAGGATGACAATACTTCGATCTATTCCTTCACCAGGAAAAGAGGGGTGCTGAAGCAGAGATATTGAGGTACCATGGAAAGATGTCTTTACTGCTGTTGCACTGGCATTGTGGTCAATGTTATCTATGGCAGCTGTTGTAAATACCTTGCCAAGCATCTTTGGAGGACAGACCACTTGCTCTCTGTGAAACTGCTGGCAGACATTGTTGCCCATCTGTGCTGAGAGACGGAGGACACGGTCGTAGGAAATGTTGAGACTTAGGTGTGACAGTCTGTCCACCACTTCTCTATTGCGTGTGTGAGTGTGCAGCATCATCCCTGTGTACAGGGTACAAGGGAACTGGTGTCTCCTGTTAAGTGCTGTGCCTTTCAGTGACAGACGTTGTGGCTTTATGCACTCATTTGTGCTTGATGCTGTTGAACTTCAGCAACTGGGTGAGGGCTGCAGGGCTTGTCTGCTATCTGGTCATTGATGCTGTGACCCTCTAGGTCTAGGACCATGTTTATCAGGACAAGCAACAGTGATGGCACAGACTCTTCTTGGCACCCCTGAGGGTATCCATTGAAAGGCTTGGCCTCTCCAAACATATGGCGTTGCACGATCTGGGCAGCACTTGCAAGATGAACTGCATCACTGTCACTGTCCAGTTCACAGGCTTTGGTGATAGCAGCACCGACATCTTCCTCAAATATCATGAGGACATCTCGCCCCCTTGTTGTGTGCCTGCATGTCAGGGAAATGGGCAAGGAGCCTCTGTTTGAGTCGTGTGGAGTGTACCCTCGTGTCGAACTTGAATCCTAGCTGTTCCATTCGGGACTGGTAGAGGTGGGCGAGATCACCTAATTTGATGACAGTTGCTCTCCCTTCTATCCTGGTTTCTTCAATGTAGAGAACAAGCTTAGCAAGGAAAATTCCAGATGCTTCTCTCTCCTGATCTGTTTCATTAGACCCTTCAAACTGGGCATATCGGACACGTTTGTACAGTCCTACTAGACATTTTGTGTGGTACTTGGCATCTAAAGCCCCCATGTCCCAGCACTGAGTTGGCCAAGAAGTTTTGTCTCTTAATGCATGGTTGCTTATCCCTGCAGGTTGGTCACAAAAGAAGCAAATTTCCTGGATCGTCTTCTCCTTACTTGCCGATCGTGAATGTGTTCTAGTCAGTTTGCATGCAGCTGGTGTATCCTGGCTCTTGTCTTCTGTCTTAAACATTCACTTTTCTGCCCTTTGTAGCTTTTTGCTGCTGTATTTGAGACTACATGAATGATGATCCTGAGCATTGTTAGCAACCATAGCTGCCTCAATGCCATTCCTTTTGTCAAGTCTCTCAAGTCGGAGTGTTGGTGGAAGTTGACCGAGCTCACTGAATCTGACTAAATTCTCCGCAAGTGAACTATGACCACTCCCAACGTATCTACGTTTGGACTGAGGAGGGCATCTCAGTGGCTCTGCCATGTCCTCTTGGCAAAGAAGACAGAGCTTCCAGTTTGTCTGAGCTGGAGGTGAGGTGAGGATGGAGCAGGATGCACAGGGCCAATAAATCTGAAGCTCTTCGACATGACTGGAACACCTCAAGCAGCGTCTAATTCTTTAATCTTTTTATCTTTCAAAGGCATCACAGTCGGCATCCATGACCATTACTCCACAAGCAGCAGCATTGGCTGACTGCAAAAACAAAGGTATTCATTTTAGTAACGACCACCACCACAGACAACAACAACAACTCTAGTGCATAAATTGTAGCAATCAGATGGGTAACATACTGTTTAATTAGACTAACTAGTCTAATGGAAGTCAGGGCTGAACAAAGAGGACGTTACAAAGGTACTCAAACTATCCAACCAGGATCAAACTCGTAACAATGGTTTTAAATTAGACAAATTTAGATTTAGGTGCGAAATAGGTAAACATTGGTTTGGAAGTAGAGTAGTGGATGAGTGGAACAAGTTACCAAATATCATCATTAACTCGAATACGCTGGATAGCTTCAAACATGGGTTGGATGGATATATGAGCAATAGGGGTTGGGTGTAAATGGGACTGCCCAGTATGGGCCAATAGGCCAGCTGCAGTTTCCTCCATTCTTATGTTCTTATTACTCTATTATTTCTATACGAATACAATAAAATAATTCACTTAGTAGTTTTAGTTCTTTTGCAGTGAATTAAACTCCATTGCCAACATACAGTCACACCCATCAGGGCAATTAAATAAAATATCAGTAATTGTTGGTGGCCATTTTGGATAATGGCTGCAACGACCGTCTGCAGCTAAATCTGTGGTGGCACCATATCCAGATCTGTTCACTACAGCTCCTCCCTGACTTACGACCTACTCGACTTACGACCACCTGCACTTACGACCTGCCTCAGTCGTACCAAAATTTTGTCAAATTACGTATTTTCGAGTCCCAACATCAGTACACAGACAAAATTTTCGTTTGTAATTCACTTTAAAATGGCTGGCAAGCTTAAAAGTGAGAGATTTGTGGTGCTGAGAAGAAAAAGAGACACCCATTTTAGATTTTCTATGTATTATTTAAGCATTTTCGACTTACGACCTGGATTTGGGTCTCTAACCCTGTCGTAAGTTGGGGAGGAGCTGTATGTATAATTTAACATGTGTGCCAAATTTGGTGCTTTTATCTCAAAATGCACAATTGGTTTAAATAGTGAGGTTATGCCACCCGACTCCTTCAGGGCTTCAATCAAAGTGTTGCATGTTTCTGCGATTAATACACTTATGCGTTGCTTGGATATCTGGAATAAATACTGCAGGCTGGTATAGGAGTCTCCTATGGCTAGACAGCGTAGAGTTACAGGCAAACGATCTTTGACCGGTATGGCTCTTCGGAATGTTGTATCCTTCTTTATAATTCTTGGTACTACAAGTTTACTTAATGTTTCAAAGTCCTTTGTTGTCATTCGAGTAAAGTTTTTCAAATGGCCATGATCCATTTCACTCAACAGGGACATATTTTTCTATCCAGAAAATAGTCGCCTTTACCACACTCTCCTAGATTTCTTTTTCCTTTTGGCTAAGGAGTAAATAATGAAGAATGCACCTGCTGCCACTGTGAGATCCATGGAATAAGATGAGCACCGTCGAACACGCAGAATACAGAGAGCTTGCACTCAAACTGCTCGTTCGTTTCATTAGTGTGTTGTCTGCTAGTTTGGTTCATTTGGGCTAAAATGCTCAAGTGAAGACGCACCCTTAAGCCTAGTACACATCTCTCGACATGCCGTCCAACACATCTCTCGACATGCCGCCCAACACATCTCTCGACATGCCGCCCAACACATCTCTCGACATGCCGCCCAACACATCTCTCGACATGCCGCCCAACACATCTCTCGACATGCCGCCCAACACATCTCTCGACATGCCGCCCAACACACCTCTCGACATGCTGCCCAACACATGAAGGCTGTCTGACAGTGTCGATCAGGCTTGCCGGATGAGTTGTACACACCAGTCACTATCATTCGTTGTCTGTCCATGGTGTTGTGAGGAGTGACTCCAGTTTCGCACACAATGAAAGCTGCTTTGTGGTGATTGCTTGTGTGGTAAGAAAAGGAGGAGAAGAGTGATGTAAAAACAAACAAAGTGGTACAAACAGTGGTTAATGAAGAGGCACTCCAAGGGAAGTTTTAAGCACATATGTAATGAACTTACAATAGAAAGTGAAGGAGATTTTCAAAATTATGTCTGAATATCAGCAACAGCATTTTTGCCATCTTAAAAAGGTAAAACCACTAATAGAGAGACAGGATACTAGAATCAGAATATTTCGGTAGGAGTACGTCTCGAATATACTCTTCGGTATCCAGCAACTGTACGTTTGCAATATTCCACACACATTTCTGAGACATGCCAAGCTATCTACGAAGTACTCAAAGACAACTTCATCCTGTTTGAACATTGCGAGAGTGGGTTTACAGATAACCTCTCGCTGCAGAGCCCTCCAACACACACTGAACACTTGTGGCATCCTGATCGCGTAGTGATTGAACACCAGAAAAAGTCATTGATCAGGCACGAACACCGTTTTGTGTCGGAAGGTGGCTGTTTGACAGTCAAGCTGGATGGCATGTCAACAGATGTTTACTAGGCTTTACACAGGATGTAAGTGGGTGCTTGGGGCAAATTTGAGAAATTTTGAATTTGAGTGAGAAAAGGGAGAAGGAAAGAGAGAATTTGGGAATGCCTAGATAACTACATTGATAATTTTACTGTGAGAGAGAGTGATAGTGGTGTGAGATGTAATACAGGAAATGGTAAGTGGATTGGATTATGTATAAATACTGTATGTAGTGCCATGAAGAAATGGAATTGGAGGAAAAACTGATAGAAATGTGCACTGAGAGAGGATCGATAATAGGAAATGCATGCTTTAAAAAGAAGGAAAATAGTAAGTGGAAGTGAAGTTAGAAATTAGAGAATATAAAGTTTTGTTTGACTTTGTGCAAGTGAATAGAATTATGAAAGTATGATTTGGGATATGAATGGTTTATGATGGGTTGTGCAGAATACATGTAATAACAACTAGGAGTTTGTTGGCAAAAATGTTTACAAACATTGATGATCGATGAACAGAGGAAAGAAAATGTGGCAGAGATTTAAATAAATAATTAAGATAAAGCTGTCTCGTGTAAAGCTGCTGATGTTTAAAGTATTCTTGAAAATACAATTGAGATGTGTGAATACAGGAAAGTAAGAATGAAAAACAAATACCAAAGTTTGCAGTGTAAGTCAGAATAAAGATGACAAAATGCGGTTCATTGTTTGCCTATGGATAACTAACTGATTAAAATTTATCAGTATTACTTGCAGTAGCTAAATTATTCATTACTAGTTCCTTTCTTGATACTGATTAATGTGTTTACCTTGGGTGTGGCAGGTTCATCAGATGAGACACAAAGATCTGGGAAGACCAGCATTGCCATTGATGACTGCCAATTCCACCAGTGTGTAAAGCTGTCCAAGTTTGAGACAGAACACTCCATATCATTTGTTCCTCCAGATGGTGAATTTGAGCTTATGAGGTAAGTTTTGGCACTGCTAAAATGTGGCCCATTAATTTCTTATAAACCAAATTTCAGTTGATACTGACCCATCATAAAAATTAATTAGACTGACCTGAAGAAAAGAACATTATTATTGTGACTTGTGATTCTAAGAGGTAGACTTACAGCTCTGGATGCTTGAGGTTGATTACCATAGAAAAACCATAAGCAGTATTTATAAATTTAAATTGAATCATAGTTATTCTTTGATAACCATAATTATAAATTGGGAGATTCATTCTTTGAACATAATGAGACTTAGCACAAGACACTTTAAATGCTTGCTTGCATATGAATTTAAAATACAGTACAGGTACACCCCATTAAACCCATGTCCCATTAACCGCCGCTTCGCATAACTAACGTTTATATATTAGGGAAATACCCCACAAGCTTCACTGACTACCCCATTGATCTGACGATTGGTAGAGATTTTTTGAGGGGCAATGACGTGGTGGGAATTCTTGCCATGAGTACGTAAATTTGTATTATGTGAATTATCAAGACTCTTCAGTGTATATGTTGTTCATATACTCTCCTCTCCTAGTCTCTCCCCCCATACGTATAGGAGTTGAAGGGGGTGGGACTGGCCATGCCGTATTTGCCAGTTTGTTTGTTTTTTATTCATTAATATATTCTTGAATGATCAGCTTCTTATGGTGTATGTTACTCCATAAATAATATAACATTAAATAATAGAAAAAATTTGAAATATAATCTGTAACATGACGTCAAAATAACAGGACAAGCTGTATCAAGGTAATCTTTCCCTGAATACTCTTCTCTACCCTCCGACTGCTGTTAAGGCCAAATTTCGACCTGAATATTATTGATTCATTTTTATAATATCGAAGGTGACGTCTCACTTTATCATTATTTCTCTCTTCCTCCCCACAATGTAGTAACCTTACAAAAAGTAATAATTATGAGAAGGCATTTATTATTCTTTTAAAACTCTTAATAGCAAAAACAGTGGCCAAAGCATCAGCCAGCCCTTCAGTCAAGAGGGGCTGGCTAAGGGGAAGAGTGATTACTCAATGCTTCAACAATGATGAACAAGTCTCAGTTAATTAATGCTTATTATGCTTACTTTATATGTCTAATTAGTTTTTCTTACTTGACAGTCTGAAAGACAGAGATACATCAAGGGTAGATGGGAGTTTTTGGGGTATGGCTGGCCCTTAACCTCCCAAATTTGTTGTATCAATAATATATCCATTAGCTGGAGTCTTTCAAACCTGGAAATCACCGAAAGCCAAAATTGAAATTTGCTCAGCAAAATCATTCTCAAAGCTGGAATTTAAAAAAAAAAATTTCTGGCTTTGGGAAGAAATTTTCCAAGTTTGAAAATTGAGAGCATTTTCTGAAAATATCTTGAATAAAGATGAAAGCTAAAGTATTTCTTAGGGAAGGGGGGGGGGACCTGATCTGCCCTGACTCAACGTCAGGTGGAGGTACTGGGAAAAGTTTCCGAGTGTCTAAACTAGACATCTTGCACAGATGCACACTAGCCCTCTTCCCCAGAACGTTTCTGGGTGCTGGGGATGTTTTCCTTGAGTCTAAACTACCGGAGTCCGTAAATGTAGTTCTAATTAAGTTAGAAACTCAATTTCTTTACTATAATAATCCATAATAGTTTATCTAAAAGTTTGGTAAAATAAATATATTTGAAAATTAAAAATCTATATGATATGGGCGTGAATGAAGCTATGTGTCAGCAAAGACTGGTATTTTCCACTCCCATGGAGCTGTGGGGGATTAGTGAGTCTTGTGTACCTGACCTGCCGCAATGTCAGGTGGAGGTAGGGCGGGGGATTAGTGATCTCATATTACTGACCTTCTGATGGAATGTCGGGTCACCCTTTCTTGGCTGGGGGATTAGTGAGTCTCATGACCTGAAAATGTCTTGAATAAATACGAAACCTTAAGTCATTTTCGGGAGATTGTGATAAGTATAAGTATAAATGAGCAAAGTTGTATCCCTTCAAGATTACATTACATAACATTTTAAAATATGGAGTGAGAAAGCAGAAAGCTGTGGGTGATTAGAGAGATGGAGTGGAAATAAGTGTTGCCAAGAGCTCCTCAACAGCTGATATTTAACTCGCAGTCACACAATAAGACCTTCACTCCTAATGTCTGCTGTCTTAATTCCCTTGTTTGGGGTGTGTGAGTGGTTGTTGGAGTGTGTGGGTGGTTGTTGGAGTGTGTGGGTGGTTGTTGGAGTGTGTGGGTGGTTGTTGGAGCGTGGGTGGTTGTTGGAGTGTGTGTAATAATAATAATAATTAACGGTCAATTAAGATAACATGGCAGACCGAAGGCTGTGTAATGTTGGTGTGTAATGTCTGGCTGAAGAGTGTGGGAGTTAACCTTTTTGGGGGGTGAGGGGGGAGAGTCTCGTGGTCAGTTCCCCCTCCCCCTTCCTCTCTCCAGCGTGGCTAATTGTGATAGGGAGATGAATTTGGTACCATAATGATCCTTAATAAATTCTCTACGAAACATTTCCAATAAGGTATCCTTAAACAAAATACTGTACAGTCATGCGCCGGTTAACGTCCGACCGAACAACGTCCGATCGCATGACAAAATACAGTCGACCCTCGTTAATTCGGACTAATAGGGGGGGAAGGGTGTCCGTTTTAGCCAATTTTGCGAATTAACCGATTTAGGGGTTAATATTGCATTATATTTCAAAGTCATTGTTTTCTTCACGATTTTATCCCACTTTCCACTGTAATACGTACGTAATTTCAGCAAAAATATTACATTTCCGTGAATGTATTATATCAAGCACAGTATGAATAGAATACCATTGTAATATAACAGTATTTTAACCGAAAACTATTAAAAAAATGTGTAACTTCTCTTGAACATCGGAAGGTTAGGTAAAGTCTTTTGTTTTCGTCATGTATTTTATCCTATTTTACATCACGTTTCAGCAAAACTACTATTTATTTCTGAGAATATATTCACTCAGGCGCAGTTTAGGTAAAATATACGTGTGATGTAACAGCTTTTTAACTGAAAACGATTCGAAAAATGCGTACCCTCTAGCCCTGTTCAAGGAGAGGACTGGGAGAAGCTGTTTGGTGCTGCAGACGATGACAAGGAAAATGATTTGGATGGATTTTAATGAAAATATTCAGAAATATGGTATCGTAGTATTTATTAAAGTCAATTAGGATAGAATGTTATTGTAATACAACAGTTTTTTAACTGAAAACCAATCGAAAAGCGATTACGGTAACATCTTTTGAACGAAAGAAAGCGAAAGTCATTGTTTTCGTCACGATTTTATCCCACATTCCACTGTAATACGTACGTCATTTCAGCAAAAATATTACATTTTTGTGAATGTACTATATCAAGCACAGTATGAATAGAATACCATTGTAATATAACAGTATTTTAACCGAAAACTATTAAAAAAACGAGTAACTTCTCTTGAACATCAGAAGGTTAGGTAAAATCTTTTGTTTTCGTAATGTATTTTATCCTATTTTACATTAAAATACATCACGTTTCAGTAAAACTACTATTTTTTTCCGAGAATATATTCATTCAGGCACAGTTAAGGTAAAACAGCTGGCAGCCGTTCCCATTGTGACGGACATAGGTGACTCCAAGTTGCTCCTATATTGGATTGCCAATGCTCAGCAACAAATTTATTTGTTTTACATAGATTTTTTACCATTCTGAGTTGATTTCTGTAAGAAAATTTTTTTGGGGCTGGTGTTGGCGTGTCATTTAATTATACAGTCTCTCCTTGACTTACGACGGGGTTTCGTCCCGACGACCAGGTCGTAAGTCGAAAAGGCAAAAATAATACATAGAAATTCTAAAATGAAATACAGTACAGTAAAAGTAATCAATAATGAAAAATGAATAAAGTGTTATTGTGCACTTACGTTTAATGTAGTCAGCCGAATGCACACGGCCTCAATAATTTTTTAATTAAGCATGGAGACTACATTAATTGGATGAAGCAGGGGAGGAGACAGGGCTGGGTGGGTCATCAAGTTTGTTTTCTTCAGACAGGCTAACCTACTTGCTTGTTGAAGGTATTGGATCATCTTTAGGGACTGAAGAGGCAGCAGTGGTGGGGCGTGAGGAGACAGCAGTGGGGTACTTCTTAAAAAATATGTCCAATTTAGACTGCACAATTTGCCTTTTCTTTTCATTGTATATCTCCCTGTAGCAAGCAAGTGCATCTTGGATCAGTCTGTCAACTTTTGCAAAACGCTCAACTTTTTTATCCATTTCTTCAAACATTTGCAAAATACGTAATGTGAAAAATATTTTATACGACCATGGCCATCGTACAGTATTGTCTTGATTTACGCGGTCAATTGAACCCGTGGAGGTCTGCGTAAAACGAGAAACGCGTAAACGAAATAACAGAACATATGGGATTAAATGAAATAGAGACTGGGCCGACCCCCAGACTACCCTTTTTCCGACACAATACGTATGTTGTAGTAAAAATAGTATCTTAATTTTATGATGGTATGGAAACACACATAATATAGAAGAGAAATATCAATAAGAGAATAATATACTGTACCAGTAGGGTGTGTCATACGGAGGCGAATTTTTTTTTTTGGAGTTTGAAAAATCGGCCCATGGTATTAATGATGTAGTTCTATGTGCAGAATCATGTGATATCTTCAGATTTGAAAAGTTTTCATTTTTTGCTAGGTAAATTTTAACTTGAAATCTTATGAAAATTCAGTATTCCCACCCTTTTACCAACACCACTAAATAGCTTATTTAAAGTAAAGTAAATGTATCAGGTTAATTTATTAGGATGAAAATGATCCAGAATAGTGAAACGAATGATCTTGACACATTTATTAAATTTATTATTCCTTTAGAAAACAAAATCATCAAATACAAACCGGTTTTACTCGGCGACCGGTGTTGCTGCACACCATAGAGAACATGTCTTTCTTGCTTCTGTTTCTACTCATCACCTCCCTGCTGACCACCTGAGCTCGGATGTAGCCTTCCCTCCTCTCCTGGCTGTACACGTGACTGCTGGCCTCGCTCACTTGCTGTACACAACGCTCTATACTCTGGGTGTGCGAGGGCCAGGCAGGGACATGCATGGGGTTGTCCAGGAAAGCTCTGACTTGAACATTGGTGAGGCTGCAGGTAAGAGGGGGCTCACTGCCAGCCTGGATGTTATCCAGATCTATGAGATCAGTGAGGGTCTTGGCACCTAGATTGACTTCAGGAGTCTTCCTGACCCTGAAGGAATCGTCACCAACTGATTCGTCATGCCCAGATCCTCTCATAAGTCTCATATCAATATCCTTTTTGACTGCCACTCTTCTCTCCTCCTCATCATACTGCAGAGCATTGTCTGCAGAACTGCCTCGGGATGAGCATACCAGGAAGATCTCCTCACAGTCTGCTCCACAATCTGAACAACCTTCCTTGGCTGACTCCTCAGGGGCTCAAGCTGGAAGAGAACATGCCTCGGACCTTCGGAGAACGATGACTTGACCTTGGTGTTGAACCAATTTGGCAAGTAGACACTCACGATGAATTGGACAATAAGTCTCAGGTTGTGAAACTGGTTCCCTTTCAGTTTATGATGAGCGACCCAAATTCTGCAGAACCTGAGAGCCGTTGTGAGCCACCTAGAATGTGAGACTGGACCTATCTGCAGGTAAGCAAGTCTGTCAGGCATGACCCCAGTTTTGATGGCACTGCAAATCATGTAACCATAGTACTGGTCAGTACTCAGGTCGTCAATGACAGTATGTACCCAAGCTCAGCAGTGGAGACCCAACTGTGATTTTTTCAAAGCTCGGGATTTATTTCTAACTCAGTGGCAGAGTCCAGCATCTTGCCAAAAGGACCAGACCATCTGTTGTTTGAAAGAGTCTTGCCATCCAGCTCCTGGATCAGATGTCTGAGTGGCAACTCGTTGGTGTGGAGGTCACAAACAATCCAGACCAGCTTCCTCCCAATCTTCCGCTCTATCCACTGTATGACCCCCCCTTGTCACCCTGTGTTCGTGTTGGTGCTGTCCCTTCCAATGGCCTGCAGGGTCTGGTCTACGTTCCTCTCTCTGAGCCAGTTCACAATGTTATCTGCCACTATCTCAGCTGGTTTCCTGATGTCATCTTTCTGGAGTGAAATGCCACAAATTTTCCTCCTGGTTCACTGCAGCAGGAGTAGTGTTCCTCTCTCTCACCATGGCAGGGAACAACTTGTCAGAATCTCCAATCCTTCATGAACACTTTAGAGGTCATCCTTCTCCCATCAAAGAACAAACAATTAATTCCGATTTTATCCCCACAAACTCCCCTCTTCTAGGTTACTGATGCTTCTCCTGAGCTCTCTCCCCATTTTGTTATGATCTATCACCAGGTGAACATCATCAGGTGTTGGTCAACCACCGCTAATCCAGGCAGCTACATTCTGCAGTTTCTGAGACCAGTGTGGTGTCAAAGATGCTGGCCAGAGCTATGTTCGATATCTTTCCATTTCGAATCTTATACCAAGGCCGGGGATCACATTTCAGTTAGGGGACAAAGTCACCATTCTCCTGGTTATCAGCACTCAGATCAGCCATGGGGAAGTCATTAAACTCTGAATCAGCTTTGACTCAATCATCGGCCTTTTTACTCCTCACCCTGGGCCTTCAAGTCTCTTTCCGCAACTCTTCTCCTCTTCAGCCCTCTGTGGTAGCCTCTGTCTCTTGACTCGAATATCTTGCCAGAAATCATGAGATTCCTATAATGCCAGTCTTCTCTGTGCTTTGACAAATGCTGTCTGGATCACAGAATCTTGAAGCGCTAAATACAGGAGATGGGCCCGGATTTACAGTCGATCGAACCAAACTCAGGACAGAGAACAATTAAATTTGCAAGTAATTATGTCAAATAACTGGTCCAGTTGCTTGGCAAAGCTGTCCTTAACTGCAAGTTTCCTCTCCCAAGAGAGATATTCTTGCCTTTTCCCCAACTGGCTAGCAGTCTCTCACTAATCTTCTTCTGACTGCAGACTGAGGCTTGAACTGAGCTGCTAGCCAGAGTGTACTGTGCCAAGACAGCTTTGGTCATATCACTGGCAATGTCTTTGTTTGTGTGTTCTTGGTTCTTTTCACTGATTTGTCTGATTAAAACACTTATCTCAAAGCATCTCAATGTAGGCAACCTCGGGCTTTCAGGAGCTCTCCCAGACCCAAGATATGACTGAGATGGCTGGATTTTGCCTCGGCCCCTGACACAAGCAGCCATCGCAAATATTATCAACTTATAAATGCATCAGACTGAAACAGAAAAATATTGTTAGTTGGGTTGTTAAAGAATGAAGTCAGAAAGCAATGTTCACTATTTAATTGTAATGCACTAATGCAGCTGTACGCTAGATTTTCGATAAATTTCACGCTAAAATTTACCTAGCAAAAAGGTTGCAAAATATTGTAACTGAAATTATTTTCTGTTTATACACTGCACCTACCAAAAAAGTGATGTAATATTAGTTTTAGCTGATCTTCCCTCCTATGACACACCCTCATTGTATCTCAGGTAAAAGAAAATCAAGGTTTAACACTTAAGTTATAAAAGAGATGGCTGGGGATTGGATTGATAAGGCTAAGATTAGTGGCCCTCAGGTGAATCACTTGTATCACTATCCACCACAGATGTCAGGGCCTCCCTGACAAACCCCTCAAAATCACCATCACTGTCACTATCACTGACTTGGGCTGGCTGTGGTTGTGGGGTTGTGTGAAGAACTCAGTGATGTTACGTTGATCGCTAGCGTTGATGTGGTCGTGATACATCTGGATATACGGCTCCATAGTTTGCAACAGATGGTTATTGGAGACTTCATATGTGATTTACTGGGTCTTTGGACAGGATGAGCTTGAGTCTCTCAGCATACTCGATGGCTTCCTTTACATCACCATGGGTTAACTTCTGTTGTTCTCGTTCTGTCGCACCACCTGCCTCCTCACTTACGTCATCATCTTCCAACATCTCGTCGGCAGTCACCTCAGGTTCCATGATTACCTCCAGGATGTTGTCGTTGGTGGTCTCGGAGAAGCCTGTAGCTGTAACGCTCTGTGCAGCATCTCCTGCAAGGTCCACTGCCACTGCAACAGACTGAGCCTCACCAGCCGCAGGTTGCCTCTGCCTTCCACCTGGGATACATTGCAACACATGCTGCCACGCCATGATGAATCATTGCCACAGACAGCTGCCCCCATGCCTCCACCAAGAAATCAACAGCTTTCTTGACGTTAAACATCTTCCAAAACTGTTTTACTCGCACTTCATGCTCTGCCAACTCTTGTTCTGGATCCTTGCTCTCGCCATTCTGTGCCACTCAGAAGGTTCCTAACTCATCCTTGGTGTTGGTGAAGTCTGCAGCTTAAACTTTTTATGGAGAAAGCAGCCTTTACGTTGCATATCAACCCTGGGCCATGGGCTGGATTAATGATGTAGTGTTGGGAGGAAGGAAGACCATTTTACACTGGGGTGACGATCCAACAGTAGGGCGAAGTGTCCTGGTGCTTTGTCAAGGAGCAACAAAATTTGAATGGCACATTCTGTTGCTCACAGAATTTCTTACATCGAACGGAAACAGTCATCAAACCAGGAGAGGGACAGTGTAGAGAACATCCACGCCTTACGTAGCGGTTAGCCAGTGGACATTTAGCCTGGTCATGTCCATGTTTTTGTAGGCGTATGCTTATGGGCTGTGTGGATCACCGACAACTTGAGCTACAGGTGCCAGAGGCATTGGTGGAACAGACGGGTGATGCGCCTCTTCTGCAACTTCCGCCCCACACTTGCTTGCAGACTTGACAACGAAGGTCTTGAAGGTAATTTCTTCCAAAACAGCCCGGATTCATCCATGTTGAACACCTGGTCGTCGTTGTACTATCCTTCCTCCATAATTTCGTGAAGAATGGAGGAATCTACGCAGCAACACGATCAGCATTAGCTCCTTCACCAACAATGTTAATGTTCGTGATCTTGTTTTAAACCCTTGCAGCCACCAACGAAGCAGGAAGTGTTTGGGCGCCAGTAATTCCCATCTTCGCTCCACTAACTGGTAGAGTTCACGGGCGTAGTCCTGCATAGTCCTGCACTGCCCACATGTCGCATCATGTTCTTCTTGCCTGACTAATCAAGTAGCTAACCAATAAATTCTCAGTCTTGAGCAGCACCTATTCTGACAATACCACCATTGAAGCACCTGCAGACTGTGATGCTCATGTGTTCTTCTATCTTGTATCCTTCTGATTGAATTTAATCGTAGATTCATTAACTCCATGCTGGCGCATGAGATCAACTTGGGGGTTCTTTCTAATTCTGAACGATTTTGTATTATACTTCGTAAACTTAGGTGCTGCCAGATCTTCTTGGGCTTAGAGCAGCTTGATCCAGGTAATTCAAGGTTTTTCTGTGGTTGGGGGTCCAGCGGAAGCCATTGTTGAACAGATTAGCGGGCACAAGAGAGAACAGTATATCTGAGACTGAGAACAATGAGATTGGCCTGGCTAAGTCAGTGACTTCTCCTCCGTGGCTGGGCACGCCATATTACATTAGACCAATCACAGCTAGCGGGGAGGGAGGTAAGATGCGTGGCCAATCACAGTCTATATGTCATATGACGTCAGCGATAACGCAACAGCGACATACTGCACACCTCCTCACAGCCTCATGGTCAAGAATACCGCGTAATTAATAATTGGCATTCTGGACCTTCTCGCACTTCCCGTGTAAATGATGGAATGGACGCGGAACTTAAAATTGTCATTCTGGCAAGGTGTCACAGAATGACCAAACGCTAAACAAAATCCTAAATCCAGACTATAGTGATGTCCGGGTTGTCGTAAGTCGAAAATGTAGTAATTCGAGGAGAGACTGTAATATGTTGTGGTGACGTACGGGTAAGAAGTAAAACATTTAACTGAGTTTGTGTAAGTGGAAACAATTCTTGACTTAGTCTACTGGTAGATGTGAGGTAATGTGGATGACCTAGGACCCAGGAAACTGGGAAATCCTCAAAACTAGTTCAGTATTTACCCATGTATTATTTTCATTCTCACCACAAAGGTACCGTACATACAAAAAGACATCTCCTTACCATTCCGTGTGATCCCACTGGTACGCGAGGTTGGCTTAATTCAAGATGGAAGTTAGTGGTAGTCATAAAGAGTAACTTTAAACCTTCACTTTTGGCACAGAAGATTGAGGTGAGTTTAGCTGTACTGTGGTATTTTGTTTGAGTTCATTCTCCTCTTATACTGCAGTATGTATATCATTATGTTGGCATCTTCATGATATGGTTTTCCTTACACTTGTGATCATACACTTTATATTTATTGTAATGTCTCTATAAACTGAATCCCTCAAACCCGGAAATCTCCGATAGCCGGAATTGAAATTTGCCCGGAAAATCATTCACAAAGCTGCAATTTAAAAAAAATTCTAGGTTTAGGAACAAATTTTCCGAGATTGAAAATCGAGAGAATTTTCTGAATATGTCTTGAATAAAGACGAAAGGTTATTTTTTTTGGGGGAGACCTGACCTGACCTGACTTGACTTGACTCAATGTCAGGTGGGGGATAGTGGTCTCATATTACTGACCTGATGGAATGTCAGGTCACCCTTTCTTGGGTGAGGGATTAGTGGGTCTCATGACCTGAAGATGTCTTGAATAAACACGAAACTTAAATTATTTTTAGAGAGATTGTGATAAGTATAAGTATAAATGAGCAAAGTTGTATCCCTTCAAGATTACATTACATAACTTTTTAAAATATGGAGGAGAAAGAGAAAGGTGTGAGTGATTGAGATGGAGGGAAATGAGTGTTAACATGCACCAGTGTTGACAAGTGATAAGCTCCTCAACAGATGATCTTTAATTTACCTTCACACACACACACACACACACACACACACACACACACACACACACACACACACACACACACACACACACACACACACCACTCACCACCACCACTCACCACTTACCATCATCATCATCATCATCATCATCACACCTCCAACATCATACCCACCCCAACATCACCCCCCCACACACACCCCAACATCACACCCCTCACACACCTAACATCACACCCCCCTCACACACCTCCAACAACCA